GAATATGTAGATAAATATTGAAACTCAAAGATCAAATGAAACTATACAATAATGCTGTTATATTTTAAACACTTATAATCATTCTAATACAACTTTACTAGTAGTTTATTAACCAATCAAGAAAACGATTCGTGTTATTAAAATATACACAGGTAGAACACTGTTTAAATTCTTATCTAATCAAAAGTAAATATGTTGATAAAAGTGAATTGACTCTCATTTATATTTAAGTGAAATACTAACGTAAGTATTAATGTTCGATTATATTTTAGCTAGAAATTTCAATCTTAGTAATACAAAGGCCTATTCCCATACTGAATTAAATTTTTTTTAAAGATTAAAAAGTTTTTATAAGTAATACCGTGTGACTGTATTTGATGTCATACAGACTTCTTTGTTCGAGATAGAAAAATACATCGAACTAAAATCTTTTTTTCATTATAATCAGTAAACATAAATAAATATACTAATCTTTTTATAGCTTGAAGATTTGCAATAATGTCGACATGTTCGGAATCGACACAAACTGTGCCCAACACTTCATTGCCTGTCATAGATTATAATCTACTCGTTCAAAAAGATTCGACAGAACTCAATAAACTTTTTAATGTCTGCAAACAATTGGGATTCTTCTATTTGAAACTCGACAATCAATTAGATCCAGCTCGTATATTTACTCTTGCCGAAAAAGTCTTTGAACTACCATTAGATACTAAAAACGAATATGCAATGGATGGTAAAAATGGAGTTTATTTTGGTTACAAAGCCGAAGGAAGCATGTATGCTGATAAGAAAGGTACTCCAGATACTATTCAATTTTGGAATATTTCAAAAGATGAAATTTTTATACAAGAAAAAACTAAATTTCCTCAGGTCATTCTCGATGCAAAAAATATCGTGCAAGAATATATGACAAAATCGCATGGTATTGTAATTGTTATTCTTCAGATTCTGTCGATGAAATTGGGACTAGATGCAGAAACTCTTCCTAATTTGCATAGATTTATGCAACCTAGCGGTGATCAATTACGACTTACTAAGTCTACTATGTATCCCGTCCAAACTCAGGATAAATCAGACGTTGCTTTCGGTGCTCATACAGATTTTGGATCGGTAACAATCTTATTTAATCGTTTAGGTGGTTTACAGGTACTAGCAGCAAATGGAGAATGGTTTAATGTTAAACCATTGTCAGGACATGCTATTGTCAATCTTGGTGATGCTATGGTCAAACTTACTGGTGGTATTATGAGATCAAACATTCATCGAGTTGTAACTCCACCTGGACTCAACGAGATTGTAGATCGTTATAGCATCGTATATTTTTCAAGACCAGAAAATGATGTTCCAATGAAAAGCCTTCTTAGTGGTGAAAAAGACGAACAAACCGATGAGCAAGTGTTTACAGCTCAAGCGTGGATTGCAAGACGAGTTAAAAATTTTCAAACTGAAAACTATAAGAATGAGGAAACATACGAGAAGAGCAGAGGAACAGAAAATAATCGTGAATCGAACGTGTCTACATAGTAGAATATTCTATTTTTTGTATCATGTGATCACTTGATTCAATAAAATGAGATTCTATATTTTCAAATCCATGAAACAAATTATCAGTATAAAAAATCGAGTTATTTGATAATAATTCAACCGATCCACTTATACATATAGCCTCGATACAAAATTCAAACAGAAAAGAGAAAAGTGTGAATCACGTGATGTAGTTAATATAACCGATAGTGATTTTCGTTTTGAATCTATTCGAACACCGTGTAAATATCTAGAACATGATGACATTCAATACATACACGATTTGTTTCTGAAAAATCTATTTAAAATAGTTATCAATATCTATAGTCAAAAGAAACGAAAAACTGTGAAGAGGTCAGAGATATTCTGACCTTGACGTATTATATATAAAAGTTCTGTATCGAGGTATTATATAAATATACAATTTTGAAACTATTGGCTTATAGCCAGAAAGATAGAAGTACGTTCATCCAGGTCTTTCGCTGTGTAATATGGAGACAAGAAAAAGGGAGAAATAAAACGAGAGAGAGAAAAAGAGAATAATTTATGTATATAATGTGTGGACATCATAATATATTTACAAAAAAAAACGAACTTTTATCACATTCTTTCCTCCTCATTTATTACACTTACTGATCCTCTATTTTGTTATATCTCATTATCCCGATCGATTTTTTAAAACTTTTTAACATATTTAAAACTGTTTAATCAAAATGCCGAGCATTGTGTAAGTATTCTTGTTTCAAATTATATTGAACTAATATAATATTATTTTAGACGACAAGATAGTCTCTGTTCGCATGTTGATCAATTAAAATTTTTTGATTTTCTTGAACCAAATTTTGATTTTAAAACAGCAATGTCAAGATTTGAACGTCAAGTTAGTTGGTTACCACTTGTTGCACCAGCAGCTGCATTTGAATCACCACCAAATGAAAATGATACTACAGTTGATTCAATTTGGCAACCTAAATATACATTTTTACCTACATTACCTGAAACACCACCATCATTTCACGACGATGATCATCATCATCATCATCATCAACATCAAATTAGCATTGATTCAATTATTGATGAACGAAATTTAAGTAATTTATTATCACCACCACAGCCGTTACCTCCTTGTAAACAAATTTTTTTTTAATTGAAACGTATTGTTTTTATATTTCATTTATTTAGTAATGAAAACAATATTACCATCTCGATCGAAAATACCTATTCGATCTCAAGAAAAAAATTCTCGAGCAATATCACCATCACCATATGAATCATCATTACCATCACAAAAACGAACAAAATCATCGACTAATATTCATGATTCTGAACCATTTGTCACCGGTGTTTCTCAGTAATTTAATACATATTGATTTTTTTACGTTTCTTTCTATTTATTCGTATCATAGAACTGCACTCGAAGTAGCTGCTCTACTTAAAGAACATCCTGGGTACATGTGTCCTATGTTAACATTGGTTCAAGAATATCAAAGTCGGTAAGTTAACATAATTAAAGTAATATGCATAACAAATTTGCTAACTATATTATTAATTTAGATTTTGTAAACCATTACATACATCTGAATTGAATACAGCACGTGATATAATTGAAATTCAATATAATGGTCAAATGGGTTTTGCACGACTTTCACCAGCATTTCGAGCAACAATTGAAAATGAAACACTTCCTGTAAGTTTTCTTCTATTCATTCTACAAAAATAGAATTATTTATTTATTGGTAGGTTCGTCTTGAACGTCCGTATTGTACAATTCATTGTCCATCAAATTTTGTTATTAGTTCAACATTCGATTTACCATTTGTTCGATTACCATTACAAAGATTTTCTGAAAATGTTCATTTCTTGCTTTCTAATCATACTGGTGCAATGCCATTAGGAAGGTTAATATAAATATATTTTTTTTATCTCTTAAATTATTTAATTTTGATTATTTTAGTTTTGTTCAATGTTATTCACATTATTTTTCACGTTTAGTTGATGATGAATACGGTGTACCACTTGAACATTATATAACATGTGTTAAAAATGTTGAAATTGTTACCGATCAAGGTGTTATTAAACGTGTACAAACAACAATTACACCATCATTTTCTGTTCCACTTAATCATAGTAAAATAGATTTTTTTTTCCAAAAACAAAATATTTATTTTATTTCTTTTCTAGTGGTACCAGATAATCGTTCAACATCTTCATCAACTTGTTCATTACAAACATTTGCTCGTGAAGTTATTGATTTACTTAAACAACAAACAATTCATTGTCGTTTACCATTATCAAAATTTGTAACAACTTATCATATGAAATATAGTCGACATTGTCGAGCAGCAGATTATGGTTTTGAAAAAATTCTTGATTTATTACATGCAATTCCAAATGCTGTTCAAGTAAAAGATACTTATTCAAATTAAATATATTCAATTGAATTTTTTGTATTTCTAGATACTCGGTGATAATAATAAACGTATATTAACACTTACTCATCGATGTCAAGTTAAACGATTTTTTAATGATCTTGTAAGAATTTTAAAAAATAAACCACAAAGATCAATGGCTATTAGTGAAATACCAAAGGAGTTTGGTAAGTAAAATTATATGGGACGAAAATGTTTGTTTTAATGTTATTCTATATTTTTAGCCAATTTTAGTAAAAAACCATTTGATATTATTGATTTCGGTGTATGTTTTCTTGATGATCTCATTGGTGAACTTCAAGACAACAAAGAAGTTGTTATTGATAAAGAACATGGAATAATAAAACTCTATCGAAAAGAACAAACGGATGTTGAAAAATTTGCAACGCAAATATTTGCTGATGATATTATTAATATGTTTCGTCATCAACAAGATTTTAATATTCCATTTCAACGTTTTATTCCAATGTATCATCATCATTTTGGTTATCAATGTCGTGTACAATTATATGGATGTTTACGTTTGATTGATTTATTTGAAGAAATTCCACATATTGTTCAAATAGCTGAAGATAAAAATGGTGAACGTATTGTACAATTAACTACTGATGCTATTCATCAAGCTGTTCAATTAAATATTATTCAACTTATAAGACAACATGAAGGTGTAATATTATTTGATCAATTAACCAAACTTTATGCTGAAATGTTTCGTTTCGAACTCAATTGTGAAGAAATAGGTTTTGATTCAATTGAAACATTGATTGAATCAATGCAAGAAAAATTAACTGTACGTTTTTTTTTCTTAATAATATTTAAAAATATTTTCGTTGTTGTTAAAAATAGTGTGTTCAAACAAATAAGAATACCGTAGTTATTCGTGTGATTGAAGAACATCATTCTGATATTGTATTTGCTCGAAATGTAGTACATATTCTTATGGAAGCACAAGGTGAAACAACAATCTGGTTACTTAAACAAGAAATGGCAAATCGATATAGACGAGAATTAAAAATTGAAGATTGTCAACATCGACTTAAACAATATATTGAATTAATAGGACAAAATGTTCGTTTAACACCACCAATGCGATTTGCTTATGAAGTTGTTAAAGGAATGCGTGCATGTGGGTTAGATAAAATGAATTATGAAGATTTTCTTATTGATTATCAATTACGTCATGGTAATGCTCATTGTCCAAATCCAGCTGAATTTGGTTATCCAACGATCGATCGTTTATTTAATGCAATACGTATTGTTGTTTTAACACGTGGTCATCGACAAACAAAAACAATTTCGTTAACAGATGAATTTCGAAGTAAGATTATCTAATTAGAAGTTTATCTATATATATATATATTCTTATTTTTAATAGTGCATATTCGACCAAGTTATTCCCTTCATTTAAACAACAATAATCCGTAAGAAAATAATTTTTCTTTCGAAATAAAAACTCAATATCTTTTTTTATTTTAGCTTTGCTAAATGAGAAATGTGTGTATATAATGTTATATTTATTCAAGAGGATCAGATATATATATAAGTGTATTATTATTTTCGATGAATCTATTTTTGTTTTGTATTTTTGTTTTCCGAGAGATTATTTAATGTTCTCTCTCCTTTCCCTATTATCCTTGTTCTTGTATGACTTCTCTCTCTCTCTTTTTCTTTCTCGACTTTCTTGAGTGCGAGTCTTAATATGTCGAAAAAAGCTCGTTTTTTTCAGTTTTTTTTCTCAGGGCATTTCACCCTTATCCCCCTATAGTTTTTATTATAGCATTTTTATCATTATTATATCATATTGACAGTATGTGTGTTATGATGAAAGTTTTTTT